CAGGGCGTTTTCAATCAGATAATCTGCTTAGGTTTAAGTACCCATTCTCCAGATACTTTCTGATGCTCAGTCTCCCACCCCTCTCCTTTTTTCTCTCCCCCTTCACCTCTCCTATTTATTTCGAGTGTTCACATCCCAAACTCATAACTCCGGTCATCTGAAGAAGCGGGCTGTACCCATGAAAGCTCAAACCACCATCAACATGTTTTGTTAGTCTATAAAGTGCTACCAGACCACCAAAAGGTGGGGAGGCTGTCTTTGTAAGTTAATTATCTACAGCTGCTCCCTGAGTTGCGAATGGCTGAGTTACGACTGTTCACACTTACGACCAAAGCTCCCATGGAGCGGTCGTAAAGGTGGTCCCCGAATTACAAACGCAACCCGTGCTTACGAACAACGCGGTCGCGTGTAACTCAATGGGGTCCGAGTTACGAACAGATCGAGTTATGGCCAAGTGTTTGGTCCGTAACTCATTCGTAACTTGGGAAGAGGCTGTATATTAAGGCCAATTTGCAATGTGTCAAATTTTAGCATAAATAATAGTTTTGAGGTCTCCCTTTGTAATCTGGTGTTAAAGTCTCTTTGTTGTAAGATGCATGTTGTCAGGTCTTTAAGAGAATGACCAATTTGATCGAAATGCTGGCGGACAGGTTTCTGTGTGTGGAGATTTCTGATGTCTCATCTGTGAGCATTGATTCTCTGGCAAAGTGACTGACCATCACAGAGGGACATTGCTGGCACAAAATGGCATCTCTCACATTATTGAACGTACAGGAATATGAGCTATATTGTATTGTATAACTACCCTACTAACAACCACAGGGCATGCCACATTAAAACTAACCCTGGAACTTTCCCTTGCAACAAACCCCGTTGCCAGCTTTGTCCACATATTTACTCTGGAGACACCATCACTGGACCTAACCACATCAGTTTTATTTATGGTAAAATTCAACACATTGCAAATGGGCCTTAATATAGATAATTACCTTACACATTACAAAGACAGCCTTCCCACCTTTTGATATTCATAGTAACTCCAGACTAGCCACTTAATTGACTCTTACAATAAGCAATTTCCTCCTTCCTTGTCCCCTCACCCCCAACTTCTGTTCTATGCAGCTGATTTGTTAGTCTGTTATTTTTGTTTACTTTTTTCATTGTATCCCTCTGTTATATAATGATCATGCCAATTCACTTTCAGAATATGATCTGAAGAAGTGGGTCTGTCCCACAAAAGCTCATCACCTAATAAACTATCTTGATAGATTTTTTAAAGGTAGTGTGCATACCTCTCCTTGAGCTGTAACTTATACCTCCAGCTGTAGTGTAGATGTACCCTGGAGAGATTACTTCGGCTGACTCAAGAAGTCTGTGATGGAGCAAAGAATTAAGCCAATGTATCCCAAAGTAAGAAAGAAAAAGATTCTTTTAACAGAATTTTTTGGGAGTGTTGCAGATATCTAAAACTCTGATCTTAATGATTTTTTAAAAATCTTGTGTTACTAAAACAGTAAGATCTGCATCTTTATTTATTTATTAATGAAGCTGCTGTAAGTAGGACTATTATTTACTTTAAAAAATATCGACAGCATGCAGACCCATATATAGAAGTGAAAAAGTTAAATCTTGGCATGCCACTTTTGAAATGTTGCTGACCCCTGCTCTAATGTGATATATGCCATTAAGTGCAAGCAATGCCCCATGCCATGTATAATGGCCAAATCGGACAGTCTTTACAACAAAGGCAAAATGGAATCACATAAAACATCAGAAATAGTAACACACATAAACCAGTATGGGAACATTTTAACCTCCTTGGACATTTAGTAATGTCAGTAATTACAGAGAGAAACTGCTGATTTACAAATTTAACACTGGTACTCTGGGCTTGAATAACGACATTTACTGGTTAACATATTACAAAGCCAATTTATTCTGCCTTTGATAGCTGCATTTTCACACCAAAAGCTATAAATGGGACACATCCAGCCCACTTAATTAGCTTCATTAACATGGGTCCTACAATTGACTGGTACTCTTTTTGCTGTTATATATATCTTGGATTCTGTTATTTCCATTCCAACTCATCTGATGAAGTGGATACTGCCCATGAAAACCCGTGATCCTATATATTTTTGATGGTCTCCAACGTGCCACAGGACCACTTGCTGTTTTTAATGTTACAGACTATCACAACTACTCTAAGACTTTTTAACACGGAAAATGATAACTCACTCTCACAGACCTTGGGAGGAAGGTCAGTCCTTGCCTATAGACAGTAGGGATGGAAACAAGTAGTTGAGTATATGATTAACAGACACGCCTAGGACCCTTGTACTAATGTGATATATGCAATCATGTGCTAGCAATGCCCATTCCATGTATAATGGTCAAACCAAACAGTCTCTGCACCAAAGGATACATGGATGCAAATCAGACATCAAGAAAGGTAATACACAAAAACCTCTTAAACCTCCCTGAATACTCAGTAAGGCTACGTCTACACTGAAACGATACTTCGGGATACCAGAGTATCCTGAAATGGCTATCCTGCGTCTTAAGAGCAAGCCTACTATTTCGGGCTCGCTATTCCAATGTCCCTGTAAACCTCATTCCACAAGGAGTAAGGGACATTTTGGAATAGTGGGTTATTTCGAAATTTGGCACTATGTGAAATAAGCTATTTCCAAATAAGATACACAATTTACATAGCTCAAATTGCATATTTTATTTCAAACTACAGTGCAGTGCAGACATAGTCTAACATTTAAAAGTACCCATCCTTCTACAAAAAACCCCTTCAAAACCAGATTACAAACACAGCAGAGCTGCAATTCATTTGCAAAGGTAACACAATGAAAATTGGACTGAATGGTTCTCTCACTAAGGCTATTTTCCCTCTCTTGGTATTCACACTTCCCTATCAATTGCTGGGAGTGAGTCACATCCATTCTGACTGAATTGGCCTCATTAACAATGGTCCTACATTTGATAAATAACTCCCTTCTTTTGATACACTAGTATATATTTATATATTCCTACCTTTGGGATTTCCATTCCACTCATCTAAAAAAGTGGGTTTTACTCATGAAAGTTTATGCCCAAATAAATCTGTTAGGTGCCTCATTATGATTTATTTGTATAGCAATAGAGTTCAAAGTCTCAGATACAGAAACCCCATTGATCTGTGTACTGTACAAAGTTGTGGAACCAGACTGATTTCTTGCAAGGATCATCAGAAGGCTTGGAACTCAGGGATTTTAAACCCGTAATACAAATCTCCACTTGAGCTATAATAGTAGGCTATATCCTCTCCCAATAATCCACTAGAAGGATATGTGCTGCACAAGTTCTACTTCTCACTTAGTCACTAATTCACTGAGAAACGTTAGACAAGAACCTGAGTCTTTTTGTGCCTCAGTTTCCTCATCTATAAAATGGGCAGATAATGCTCATTCAATATTTTCAAGTTTTAAAATACTCACAAAGTATAGTATTAGTAGTGAAGTTGATTCTGACCACGTCAAATGTCACACATTAAAAAGTCAATAGTTTATTTTGTTATAATCATTTTTTCCAACAGATATTTAATTTTGACCTAATTCTCTGCTTCAGATGTTCAAATCCACTGAAAGTGACAATGCTAATAACTTTTTGGGGAAAAAAATCAGCATAAATTCCTTGCATTATTGTTGTATCCATGGGCCCCTGAAAAGATCAACACATTATCTGGCATCATTTCTTTCTAGCTTTCTTTTCCTCCTTCGCCTCTCCCCCCTTCTAAAGTTCACTGTTCAAGTACTATGATTGTAAGAAAGAATTTATGAGAGCACACCAATGATTCAATAGATTGCAAAACAAAACTGCCCTTGTGTAATGTAAGAATAAGAGCACTTCTATTTATTTATTTATATGTTTTTTATAATTGGTAAGCTGCCCCCGCCCATCATAGCCCTAGTCAAACTCCCACTCCTGGACTCTTCTCCAGGCCATTTTGTATGGGTCCCGCACATTGGGCTCATGTGCTCTTGAGCTTTTCTGGGCCTGAGCAAAATTCAGGCTCTGGCTCTCTAGGGACAGGCTTGGGGTGCAGATTCTGTAACACCTATTTGAAAAGCTGAGACTCTGCAGTCCAGCTGAACAGCCCTCTGGACAAGTGCTGTATCCCCCAAACAAATGGCCTAGGCCCCCTTTCACAGAATTCCAACTTTGCAGCCACTCTTGTTTACAGTTTATATCTTCAGAGATGTGATAGTTGAAGCAAAAAGATACAGGTCTTGCACAGGATTTCTAAAACTATTTTTCTTTACCATGGGCAGCACAAGAGATACATAGATTTGGTAAAAAAGAAATAGAACATTTATGCACCATTCCCTGTTATAAATTAGCTCACCACATGGAAGTATTCTTTGGGATATGATCAGAGTCCTTTAGAGGTCTAGGTTCTCTCTCGCAACTTTTGGCTTCTCCTCCGACTTAAGGAGTCTCTTTCTCCAGTGCCAACTGTCATTAGCCATGGCAGGTCCTGCAATCAAGAACTCTTCTCTCCCTTTGCTCCTCTCTCCTTCCCTAATCTTCCTTTATCTGTCTGACTCACCCAGTCATTGTATTTCAAGGGGCTGTCTAAAATCCTCATTTATTTATTCCCTCTGGTGGAGAAACTGCATTCCTTCAAACTCAAGTTCTCTGAAGAGAAAACTGGTTTATCTCGGGTGCAGTTCTTCTTTTGTTCTTTCCCACGAAACTTCTGATTAGGAGCTGACAATCTTTAACAACTAACCTATTCATAGACAGATGCCCCAATGCCAGCCCCCTTCCCTTACCTCAACAGTGAGCAAAGCATAGTCAACAAGTCTCAGACCGCCGCCGTATTAGTCTGTAACTTCAAAAACAAAAAGTAGTCCTGTGGCACCTTAGACAGAGATACACACACACACACACACACACACACACACACACACACACACTTCCACTCAAGCTCATCTGAAGTGGATTTTGCCCATTTATTTATTTATATTATAGATAGATTGCCCAGTTTAGATAAGATAGATAGATAGAGTTTTCTACAATACTAATTTTTAGCTTTTTTAATGTCAAGGAAATTCACTAACAATTCTCAGCTGCATGGGACAATGTTCCCAGGAGTCCCTTTGTTACAAATTAACGCAAAGATGGTTACTCATTCTCTGCCTAAAGGTATCTACCACGCAGCATAAACTTCAGACATGGGCACTGTGAATCCAGACAGAGCACATCTTATCTAAACAATCTTGAGAAAATTCTTTACCTTATATTAACTGCAGTGAGGTCAAACCATCTGTGCATTCTTTATGATTAATTATAGTGTTCTTTCCTCCTCTCACCTCACTAACCTCCTTTGGAAGCCTCCAACATGCAGACAATGCTCAAATTAGAGTAGGTCTCAAAAAAGAACTCTTTGTTCTTCTCTGCAGACAGTTCAGCAAAACATAATAATATGTACAACTGCACTGAAATGATCAAGGTAGATTTGAAGAAATGATATAGAATTAACCGTTTTAGAAATTTAACCATTTAGAAACTTATGATCCCCACATTCTCATGTTCTTCTTTTAATGTGACAGGTATATCACAGCAGCAAAGTATAACACTACAATGCAGATTAACCTTACATTTCAGAAAACCGTTTGCAAAATGTTCAGTTTGGAAAAAGAGATCTATATTTAAAGTAAATCTAGTAAACACAAAATTATGTTATACATTCGGAAGGGGATTTTCAGACGTGCTCATCTCTGACGTAAGTCAATACCTGTTAATTGCAATAGTAGCAAATTAAGTCATTGTTGAGTGCATCCAAAAATGCCAGCCTCAAAGCATGAAGTGTACATTCACAGTTTTAATTTCATGTGGAGGTTGATCTATTGGATTAGATAGGGAGAAAAATTTTGTTTATTTTTTTCAAAGAAACCAACAACTTATGTTTTCTAAAAACAAAGACAGCCAGTGGGTTTGGATCAACAAACTTAAACAAGATTTGAGATAATTATGTAAACTAGGTTATTTTGGGTAGATGGGACAAGGATTCATTTTCAAAACACAAGCCAATACTCATTGTTCACACCATCATATTAGCAACTTGAACCTGAAATCTGAGTACCTACCAAAAATTAAAAGTTTCTTTCCCATTCCTGTAACTCAAGGCAGTAACAACAATTTCTCAAGTCATCAGTACATGAAGTGCACTGTGTTTAGTACTATTTACAGAAGAATCCAAAAATATCCCAAACTTTAATGTTAATACATCACACACACAAAATTCTCCCTTTCTACCATAAATTGTTCCCAGCTTGTAGGCCAGGGGTGGCCAACCCACAGCTCGTGAGCTGCATGAGGCTCTTCAAAGAAAAAATTGTAGCTCCTGCACCTGCAACTCTTGGCTCTTAAAGGGGTAGCGTGTTTGTCTGAAAGACAGAGCCGGAGTTGCGGCGTCCCATGAAGACTTAAAAAATGGCCGCCTTAAAAGGGCAATGTCTGCTTTGCTTCTTAAAAGGGCAAACTGTTTTGGTTTTTTTTTTGCTCGACCAAACACAGCAGCCATTTCTCCCTTCCCCCTCCCCTCGGTTCTTTGCACTGTACCCAACACTATTTTGGTTCTTCGTCTGTAATGGGTTGGCCACCTCTGTTGTAGGCCCTCTAATCAGCTCTCAGCAGTGCCTTATTCTGCTCCATTTCAGGTCAAACAGGATCGCTACCTCCAAACTAGCTTAGCAGGGGATGCCATGGTCAAAGTACAAAACATCAACCAAGGACTGAGAGCCTCAATAGTCTTAGAACCAGACTACCACAGCAGCACTGAGGACAGAGAAGTGGTCCATTGCATCATAGTTCAACATGTGCCACTAGGCAACTTTTTTCTTCTTCTATTATATAGTGCACTAGATTTCATTAGTTTTTGGAGGAGCCAAGTATGCTTTGTTACAATGGAAATGGAAATGTTTATGTTCCACTGGTAATGGGAAAATATCTAAAATAAACCCTTGTACAATGCAAACAATATTTTGCTATGAGAAACAGTAATTAAAAAAACCCCATACAGAAGAGTGCCTCAGGCTGATCTAGAGAATACAGGCCACACTTCCCTGCATGAGTAATACAATACAATAAAGAAGAAAGTATTACCTCATTTTCTCTAAAACACTGTCAAATAATTTAGTTTCATCTAACATACATATAAAGAGGCAGTCTTCTCTGAAATGAGATTTAACAGATTAAAAACCACAACAAATTCATGATTGTAAACTCTCTTAAAACAGCTTTTATGGCTTTTTTTAAACTGAAGTTTAATTGACTACGTTATTTGTTCGCCAAAACCTTGTAAAATAGACCATTAATATTCTGAAACAGGAATTCATTTACAGGTTGGATCTCCCAGGTCCGACACCCTGGGGACCTAACTGGTCCCTTATAATGGATTTTGCCAGACTGGGGAAAGTGATTTCTGCCCCTTATTTGCCCCTCCCCCCCAGCAACAGCTTCACTGCCAGCCTCCCAGCCGGCTTCCCTCTGCCGTTGGTTCCTCAGCACAGGACTCCCAGCCCCAGTGGCAGCCCCATCACCGCTCCAGCCACACAGCTGCACTACTGGGCAGCAGCAGGGATGCAGTGCTCCTGGTTGAGCTGCCAGGTGGCCTAGCTGCCGGGTTCTCGGTTCCATTGCCAGGGCAACCCTGCTGGCTCCTGATCTTGTTGAGTAGTTTCGCTGCCAGGCAGCAGCCCTCCTACTGGACTCGAGCCCACTGGGCCTGCCTGCAATCTCCTGCCTCCCCCACACTCCGCACTACCCTCCCCCCACTCTGTAGTGTTGTCACTGGGCAGCAGCCCTGTTGCTGGACTCTTTGTTTTGCTACCATAGGGCAGTCCTGCTACTGAGTTCCAGTCCTGCTGCAGGGCTCCCAGCCACCAGCCCTCCACGGGATTCTCTGGTCCTGGAACAGACCAGAGTTGCCAGACCAGAGTCTCCCAGTTAAGAGAAGTTCAACCTGTATTATATATTCCAAGACAAGTCAATACAACTTTTACAGGGGTGGTCTATATTTTAAATTATTTCACCTTTAATTTGATTTTTTAAATAAAAATAGCTCTCACAGCACTATGTTAACAACGGAAATACCCATGAAAATATATGAGATAATGTTGGTCATATATTCAATGAGAACTTCTAAAAACCACATGAAAGATATCAATGGGAGGAAGTAGAGTAATATTATTCTACTGGAAAAGGAGAAAATAAATGTATTAGTTAGATGTATTGAAGTCTGCAGGGCCTACTGAAATTCATCTACGGGTACTTAAGGAACTAGCTGAAGCAACCTTAGACCTGTTAGCTATTATCTGCAAGAATTCATGGGGAAAGGGTGAGATCTTAGGGGACTGAAGAAGAGCAAAGCTAGCGCACAGGGGATTATAGACCAGTCATCCTAACTTAGATACCTGAAACAATACTGAAACAAAGGGTATGTCTACACTACCCTCCTAGTTCGAACTAGGAGGGTAATGTAGGCATACCGCACTTGCAAATGAAGCCCGGGAAATTTAAATCCCGGGCTTCATTTGCAAGTGCGGTATGCCTACATTCCCCCGCTAGTTCGAACTAGCGGGGGAATGTAGGCATACCGCACTTGCAAATGAAGCCCGGGAAATTTAAATCCCGGGCTTCATTTGCAAGTGCGGTATGCCTACATTCCCCCGCTAGTTCGAACTAGCGGGGGAATGTAGGCATACCGCACTTGCAAATGAAGCCCGGGAAATTTAAATCCCGGGCTTCATTTGCAAGTGCGGTATGCCTACATTCCCCCGCTAGTTCGAACTAGCGGGGGAATGTAGGCATACCGCACTTGCAAATGAAGCCCGGGAAATTTAAATCCCGGGCTTCATTTGCAAGTGCGGTATGCCTACATTACCCTCCTAGTTCGAACTAGGAGGGTAGTGTAGACATACCCAAAATTACTAAACAAACAATCTATAATCATGGAGATGACCGGGTTATAAGGAATAGCTAGCATAAAACTGTAAAAAACTAGTTATTCCAAAGCAACCTCATTTCGTTTTTTGACAGGGTCCCATGCTAGTTAGTGGATTGAGGGTGGGAAGTGGTGGAAGTGTGTATCTTCATCTTAGTAAGGCTTTTGACTAGGGATGTCAGTATGTAGTCAACTACACGATTAACCAATAAGACTGGGCTTATCGGGTAATCCTGTCAACTACATGCATTCCCCCCTTTCTGCCTCTGTATCTGGGGGAGCGAGAAGTGGAAAGGTGCCTCTGTATCAGAAGCAGCAGTGTGGGGGTGGGGCAGGGAAGGCTGCCACAAAGTAGCCTCTGCCTGTGCGAGGGTCTGAGCTCCCTCTGGACAGAGGCTGTTCTGCATCCTGTGGAAATTCAGTAAAGACAAGTGCAAAGAACGGAGAAAAAAAATCAAATGCACAACAACAGAATGGTAAAGAATTGGGTAGGTGGTAGTGCTGCTGCAAAGGATCTGGGGGTTATAATGAATTACAGATTAAACAGGAGTCAACAATATGATGCAAGCTCTGTAAAAGGCTAATATACTCAAGGATGCTTTAACAGGAGACAGTGCTTAATTTGTGCCAGGCCTTGCCAGTGCTAAACCCCCGCATCTCGAAGCTTGCTGAATCAGTTATGAAACAAAAACAATTGCTTGGGACCCAGAAGCTCTTGTATGTAAAAGACAGGCAGTAAGCTGTCCCACTCTACTTGGTGAGGCCTCAACACAAGTGCGGTCTCAAAATCTTGGCACCATGCTTTGGGAAAGATGTGGATAAATTGGAGAGTCCAGAGGAGAGAAACAAAAGTGATGAAAGGTTCAGAAAACTTGACCTATAAGGAAAGTTTAAAAAAGGTTTAGTCTGGGGTAAAGAAAACTGAGGGGGGACCCAACTATAAATCTTCAAATTAAGGAAGTTAAATTTTGAGTAATTTACTAGTCGAGTAGTCGATGGAATTTCAATCGAGTATTCGACTAGTCGATAGGCCCTTATGCATCCCTCCTTTGAAATGTACAAGAGCCTCTTTTTCAGAGGAGGAATGTGGAACTCTGCGTACAGCCCGGGCACAGTGGGAAGTCCCGCTGACTCCAGGCTGCACACGGGTGCCTGGATTGAAATGCACAAGAGTCACCAGTGGAGGCTCTTGTGCATTTCAAAGCACGGTAGGCTGGGGTCAGTGGGGGACTCAGAGCCCCTGCTGATCCCAGGCTCCATGTTATGGGCTCTCCTGCCCCTTTGAATCACAAGGAAGTGACAGTGTGACCCCAGGTGCCACGCAGCATTTCCCCAGAACCCGGGGTCAGCTTGAGTCCCCCACATTTGCTTATCGACTAGTACTTAACATCCTTACTTCAAATATGTTAAGTGATGTTGTAAAGAGGATGGTGATCAATTGCTTTCCATGTCCACTGGATGTAGACTAAGTAGTAATGGGCTTAAGCTTCAGCAAAGGAGATTTAGGTCAGATATTAGGAAAAATGTTCTAGCTCTAAGATCATTTACATACTGAAACAGAGTTCAAAAGGAAGTTCTGAAACACCCACCATTGGAGGCTTTTAAGAACAGGTTGGACAAACATCTGCCAGGAATGGTTTAATCAGGGGTACTAGAACTAGGGTGCGTGGAGTGCTGTAGCATACCCTGGCTTGAAGTGGTTTCCATCATATGCAGGCTTTCTAGCTGTGTCAATGGTTTTCAGCACCTCCACTTAGGGATGTAAATGACTAGTCGACTGTCCGATAAGCAAATGCTTATCAGATAGTTGGCTAGTGATATGACTAGTTGTTTCCCCCCCCTTGCTGCCTCTATCAGAGAGAGGCAGCTAGGGGGGAGCAGGATCCCATACTAGGAGGAGCCTTTTTAAAAGACGGCTTCCCCCCAGCACCGGGGGGTGGGGGGGAGAAGAGAACAGGCAGGGATGCAGTGGGAAAGTGGCGGTGCTTCCGCCTTTGAAATGTAGCAAGACTGCTTGAGTACCCCTGCAAGCTGTGCTCCCCACAGCACTTCTGCCTTTGAAATCTAGCAAGAGCCCTGCTAGCTCTTGCTACATTTCAAAGGTGGAGGAACCCTTATTGACTAATCGAATAGTCAATGCAAATTACATTGACTATTTGATTAGTTGATTAATCTAAATTTAGCATCCTTACCTCCATTTAACAAATTGTTCCAACACAACGGGATTTTAGTTTACTTGGTCCTGCACAGTAAAAAGGGTTGGACTTGATAATCTCTCAAGTTTCCATATAGCCCCAAATTTCTATGATTATATGAAAATTAGTTTTCATAGCTTTAGTTTCTGTTTGGAATTGTCTATGGTGCCTCATCACTATAATAACAAAAACCTAACTAATTTATTTCCACAAAATCTCCATTATCCCAGTTTTACTGATGGAGAACACAAACAGAAAGATTAGAGTGGCACAAAGAAGTCAGTGGCAAAGCTAGGAATGGAACCCAGATTTTGAGTCTCTGCACTTTATCCACAAGTCTATCCTCTCCCATAGAAAGTATCCATGGCTCTGGCTTTTACTGCTGGATAGCCTATTTCTAGTGATTCAGAGCCAATTACTAAAACTCTTCTTCCCTGTCTTTTCTTCCTCTGTTGCTGCTGCCAGCTCACCCTGGGCCTCAGTCCTGCAAGGTGCTAAGCACTCTTGCCACAGCACAGCAAAGGATCGATGTTGCAAGACTGAGTCTCCTGTTGTGATGTTGCTGCACTGCCCAGGACAGGCTAGGAGAGGCCAGCAGATACATCCATTCTGGAACTTAAAACAAGTCAGTAACAGGCATGAATTTCATGGAAACATAGGACAGCTATTCTCCTCCAAACTCCCAAACAAGGATACACTCCATGTTTAAAAATGGCATGACATAATATAATGCAAGGCAGAGCCATGTATAATTACTATGAAACACTAGAATTACAAAAAGAAAACTAACTTAACGTAGGATGCACTTCCCTCACTGCTGAGAAACTAACAGTGATCAGATGGCCAACAGTTAGGTAAACAAATGAAATAAGACAATCTACTTTAACACGGTGAAGTTTCAAAACTTAAAAAATAAATATCCATGCCTCCGTTGCCCTCAATAAGTCATTTTAAGTCAAAGCAAGCTTTTTCATTTTTACTAATGGAAGGCGAGCATGGGCACGGGGTATGCTGTTTCTGAAGGTTCTTCCACGTTAGTATGTGTTCCTTACAGTGCTAAGTAAAAGATAGCAATTAGAATCCAGGACTGCACTCAACTTCATTATAAAAAACTCTATTACCTTTCTGCCCAAGCTATTACCATGCCTCTAGTGCAGTGGTCCCCAACATGGTGCCCGTGGGCGCCATGGCGCCTGTGGAGGCATTTGTTTGCGCCCGCCAAGTGCTGGGGGCTGTGGGGAGCATCAGCCCCGGCTGCGCGGCTATGGGGGGGCGCCAGCTTTGGGCGCGCAGCTCTAGAGGACGCTGGCCCCAGGCTTGCTGTGAATGGGCAGCCCCCGTGCCCATGGCCACGCAGTGCATATGGTTGCTGGCCACAGGCACGTGGCTCATGGGGGTGTGGCATATGCGTGGCCCCGCCTCCAGGTGCGCAAGTGTCCCCGCCCTCTGGCACCCAGCAGGTGAATGGCCTCGCCCACTGGTGCCCGGCAGCTTCAAATGATTTGGGACCACTGCTCTAGTGGGCTCTAAGAATGCCCATTAGGGATTTCTTATTGGCTGATGTAAAAGTTTGAAACTTAGTTTAAGTCATCTGGCAAAGAATGCTTTGCATATTTTATAATCCTTGAGCTTTTCCTCCCAATACACAAAATGTATCAAATTTCCTTTAAGTTTTGTTTTTTTATGATAGAATTTGATAGCTCTTAGGATATTGCTGTTTTTTCTAACTTATGTAAGAACAGTAAAAAAGGGCAAAGATGCAGTGTTGTAGATTGAACTGTGGTATTCTTTTTAATGATATATTCTCAGGTAATAACAGAAGATAATGCCCTCTGATGGAAAAGGCACCTAGTTTGCTGACTCTCTACTGTGGTTTAATAGCCAGCAAGAAGAAAGCGTTAGCCCATGTGAAGATGGAGTGAGTCAGAAGTCACTGGCCATTAAGTAAGTCAAAGAATTGTACACTGTTACACAACCAGTCTCAGGAACTTTTTTTTTTTTTTTTTTTTTTGTGGCAGAATAAGCTGTGATCAGGCTGATTATAGCTTTGATGAAGATGAAATTGTCTGGCTTTAATTATTAAAGAGAATGGAGGAACAAATGCAACCTCACAGACCAGCCCACGTAAATAAAAGTGCATCCACAATACCTGCCTAGAGATGTTCATGACAGGAGCAGAATTATCTATACTTTTCTGTTGGCTCAGGCCATGAAGTGGCCCACTAGAGAAAGATACTGTCTTTACTGCAGTGCTATCTGTCCTTATATTCTCTGAATGAGTGCCCTTTCTTCTGGTGCTAGATGTTGCTACAGGAGCCAGTTAGCTTGCAAGGTTTGTCTTTCAGGTGGCTCTAACAGAGTTTCTTCCATTTCCAAAAAAGTGGCAGGATCATGCTAACTTCTATGCTTAATAACCTCCTGATCACAACTTGAGCAGAGCAAACTTTTAAATGTAGAATAGTAATAGAAATGTAGCCGTGTTAGTCTGGTGTAGCTGAAGCAAAATGCAGGACTATGTAGCACTTTAAAGACTAACAAGATGGTTTATTAGATGATGAGCTTTCGTGAATAAACCATCTTGTTAGTCTTTAAAGTGCTACATAGTCCTGCATTTTGTTTTAAATGTAGGTGATCACTGTCCCTCTCTTAAAATGTAGGATAAGTGAACTCGGTGAAAGGGGCCCTTGCTGAAAGTGTACACAAGTTCTTGGAGAGTACACAAAAGAGACTGTAAGAGAAAGGGCAGAAAGAATTTCCCTTAGCCAAAACAGAGCCAACAATGAAGACAGTTGAGGGCTTGCCACAGGCCAGATTAGTTTTCCAAAGCTATTAACCTTTGTGACTAGCTGGGGAGGTGAGCTGAGAGGAACAAGAGCAGACAGACTGGCTACACAGATATTAAACCTGGCACTTCTGAATTACTTGGAAAACTCCTTTGATGGGATTCAGGAAGTGGGAGCCTATTAGTCTGTTGCTCCAGGCACCATTGCAGGAAGCCAGTGATTCTTTAATGTTCCGGTATGAGGAACTAATGACTATGACAGAGGGAGACCACTGTACTAATGGGAAGCCCCAGTAAATTCTCAGCTCCACTCAGAACTGTCACTTTCCGAATTTTTCCCCAAGACATAAGGAGACAGGGTCCAAAATGGCCTGCAGCAGAAGCAGCTCTTTGAGGGCATGTCTACACGGAGGAGTTATTTCAAAATAATAACTCCTGCTTGCGAAGAAAAATAAACTTATTTCAAAATAGTTATTTTGGGTGTTATTATTTTGGAATAACTCGGTAGTGTAGACATAGTCTAAGACAACATGAGTAGAGGCAAGAGAAAGTTTTCACTCAGACTTGAAGAGCTCTATAGAGCTCGAAAGTGTCTCTCATTAACATTAGTTGGTCGGATAAAAGATATTACCTCACTCACCTTCTCTCTCTGATTTCATACAGGCAGTTTGGCAAAATGCCAGCAGAGGGAGCATGCAGCAGCAATAGAGAAAAGTAACTGTTAAGTACCAGCTTCCAGACGAATGGAAATTGCAGGATACCCATGAGATAAGGGCAACAGTTGATTTGGTATATGAGAAAGGCATTCTGCAATTTGCATTGTTATACATTATGAGATTGAAATATCCAGCCAGAGCCTCTGGTAACCATTATAAATACGCACACTTAAAATAGTTTGACAAATACACGTTATGGCAAATAAGCCACCAGAGCCGAAGGTGTTTTCTCCTCCTCGTCATCCCTTTATTTTCCTAAAAGGAGTGGGTGGGTGGTGGGTAAGAGGTTCCCAGAACAAAAAAAGCAAGTGAGAGACTGTGCAGTACTAAAAGATAAGTGCCGAACAAGAATGTATTCCACAATTTCTCTTATGTTTTGCAGCACATTTTCCTCCCAGAGATGGTAAGTAATTTTTAAGATTTTTTTCCCCTAGTGGTGGTCAAATAAACTTCAAATTTCCTTAACATCACATCATTTGACTTCATGCCTAAGTCTGATACAGAAACTGAGCTGGTAAAGTGAGCCAGTGTCTTGGCCCTGGATGAAGATAAAAGAATTCATGCTGCTTCTTTTAGCTCCAGCAGCCCCCTTATGCTGAAGGAATCTCTTATGCAGAGTAATGCAACAGCTCTATTTTATCACCCTAGAGCAGGGGTTGGCAACGTACAGCACACGTGCCACAAATGTCATGCAAGATGATTTTCAGTGGCACGCGCAATGAACGGGCTCCACCTTGCTCTCCACTTCTACAATGGTGAACCCGTGCTGGCGATCCAGCATCACACCCCCTCCCTCCCTGTAAGACTGGAGCCAGCGCCAGCTTCCTGAGGGGGGAGGGAGGAAGCCCTGAAGCTCCGCACCAGATCTAGCTAGTGGGAAAGTGCGTGCTGCTTCTCTCCTCCTCATAGCAACACACACGCTGCTTTATACACGCAACCTTCACTCATGCTCCCGGGAGGTGGGAAATGGGAGCTGAGTGGCCTCCCCCTGCCTGGAAGCCCTGGGCAAGAGACCAAGCAGGGCGCAGTGTGGAGAGACCTCTCCCCCACTTCTGGGAGAGCGGCATGGCCCAGGGCAGGAGGGTATGCTGGGGCATGCCATTTCTGAAAGATGGCCAACCTCTGCCCTAGAACACTGCAAATTTGCAGATATCCACTTTATATCTGTGAGTATCCACATCTGCAGCTGTCAATGTGGATATCCGCAGTTCATTTTTGCAGATCCAAAGGAGGAGGATATGGATACAAATTTTGTGTCCATGCAGGGCTCTATATCACCCTTCATTTTTCAATAGGTATATAAGCCTTGAGGCAGGGTATATGGTGAACTACAAAATCTATTTCCCTTGGCTACCCTGGGAGGCTTTGTAAGAGATGAACTGTGGTTTCTTAATCCACAGGCTAGATGATATTTTATATAGACAAATTAAGGCTCAAATTATATTCTGTGCATGAACTAGCTGAATTGTATTGTATTCATAGGCATGCTCACAGGGTGTGCTGGGAGTGCCCGGGCACACCCTAATGTCTCGGGCTGGCTGGCAGCTGCTGGAGGAGGAGGGGGATTTGAGACGGGGTACCACAGCCTGTCACTTTTCCTGCAGCCATCTACGGGGCACTTTGGGGCAGAAAGCGCGCATGCGCGGTGGAAGCAGCTGGGGCCAGACCAAAGATGCCAGCCCGAGCCATTTTTTTGCCCCGAGCCCGACAGAAGGGCAGACACCTGCAGGGGAGGAACCAGCACCAGAGAAGCGAAGCAGGGCAGGTGTGTAGAGGGAGGTGTTACGAGAGGGGATGAGGAGGGGTAGCTCACATGATCAGAGTGGGGCTACTGGAGGAGTGGGCACAGGGGGGAGAGAAGGGCTGGTGGAGGGGGGCAGGTCTCAGGAAGGCTGAGGGCAGTGAGAAGGGCAGGAGTCAGGACAGCAGAGGGTGAGGGGTTGGGGAGCAGCACGCACCAGGGGAGCTGATGGAGCAAGGGGAGGAGACATGGCAGCAGAGAGAAAAGGTAGAGGTTTATAAGATATTTATTAATAACAGTGGCACATCCAAACAAGCCACATGAACTCGATACTGGTGCACAACACAAAATTCATTCTGCTCATGGGAGGAAACTCTTAGGGGGAACACTTCCCCCAGCCTCTCTGCCCCTGAGTTAATGTCACATACATTGAGTTAATGCAACTGCAGGATAGTTGCATAAGGGCGGCTTGGTGGGGGCCAAACTAATTCCTATTGGTAGGAGGATGGTGGGAAATGTCCTTGGGGGGGTCACATGACACCTTTTACTTCTGGTCATGTGTCCATCTTGCCCGGAGAGTGTTACCTCCAGAGGTGTGGCCAATGGGGGTCAGGAGTGTGGTTACCAGGGTCACGGGTGTGGCTAATGGGGGTCAAAGTACATTCTACAGGTGTGGCCAATGGGAGTCGGGGTGTGGCCAATGGGGGTCAGGGGCGTGGTTAACAGGGGTCAGGGGCATGGCTAATGGGGGTCAAAGTACATTTAAAAAAAATTCTTCGGGTGCACACCCTAATGAAATGTGCTGCACACGCCTATGATTGTATTTTAAATGTAACAAATAATAACCAATGATAATAAAAAACCTTTTTTCCCCAGTAGATGTCAACGTGTTCTACAAAGAAGTACAAGTATTCATATACCCATTTCATGGATAGGGAAACCGAAGCAGATAGGTGAAAAGACTTTTTCCTCAGTCACACTATATGACAATAGAAGAACCAAGAAAATAACTGAAGTGTCTCAACCCCCAGTCCAATGCCCTTGCTACCAGGCCATGCTTTCTTCTCCAGCAATACCTAATTCTTTGTTGAATTCTTAATTTTGTATAGATTTTAGGACTTAGGCAAATGCTTTATTATGTCTTAATAAATACATTCTGATCAAGGTTCCCTGCAAGCTGAGTGACCACACGGGTGCGCAGCCCATTTCTGAGCTCCATGCAGCAGTTCACAGCTTCTTACGCATGCAGGAAGCTCAGCTGATTGGCTGGGGAAAGAGGGTGGGGCATGAACTAGCTCACTCTCTTGGAGGAGCAGAAGCAGCAGCAGCAACTGCTACCTATCATAAATGGAGAAGCCTCTACTCCAAGGCTGGACAAAAGATGATCTGCAGGCTAAGGATGTTAAGGACTATCAGAGGCAGCAAAGGGGGAGGAAGAAGGGGTACTTCAAAGCAGCAGCACAGCTGAGCCAGGGATCAGCTGTATGGCTATTTTGAAACCCCAAGGCAATGTTCAGCTGTGCGGCGCTGCCCCTTTGAAACGCCGCCTTGGCATTTCAAAGGGACAGTTCCCTAGAGCCCGGAGTCAGCTGGGGAGTCCCAGGCTCCATGGCACTGCCCCTTTGAAACACTGCCTTGGCATTTAAAGGGGCAACGCTGTACAGCTGATCCCCAGCTCAGCTGTGCAGCGTTGCCCCTTTGAAATGCTGCCTTGGCATTTCAAAAGAGCAATGCCATGGAGCCCAAGGTCAGCTGTAGGGATGATAATATCAGTTAATTGAATAGTCGAGTAACCTCATGAATTCTTTTTGGTTACTTGACTATTCTATAGTCCCCAGAGGTGGGGCTGGCAGCCAGTGCTCTCCGGCCCCACTCCCAAGGAGAACCTTGTCACTTTGTGCTGCTGCCTCTGTATCAGAGCAGCAGTGTGGAATGCCAAGCAGGAGCTGGTCTGTGAGGGGAGCCAGTTTAAAAACCAGATTCCCATGCACATTGGCTGCCTGCTACCCCATACTGCTGCCCCTGATAGGGGGTGGCAGCAACTCCTGGATCCGGCGTGAGCTAGAACTGAGTCTGGGCTGCCTGCCCACCTATCTCCTAATAACACTTTAAATGCAGAACTGCAGCAGGGGTAGGTTCCAGACCCATCACAAGCCAAGACTGAGACAGGCTGCTGGCCAACCTACTAAAAATGTATTGGTGGGGGTGAGTGAAGGGAAATGCTTACTGGTTAATCGACTACACTATTATGGCACACAGCACAGCATGGAGTCCAGGGTCAGTGGGGGGATCCCCAGGCTCCATGGCTTTGTAATGCACAAGAACCCCCACTGGGGACTCTTGTACATTTCAAAGCTGGCAGATCGCATGCATCCCGGAGTCAGCGGGACTTCCCTCAGTGGGGGCTCTTGTACATTTCAATGGAGGAAGGAGGAAGTGCCTATCGACTAGTCAAGTAGTCAATGGAAATTCGACTAGTCAATTAACGACAATTTAACATACTTATTGCAGGCCCGCTCTAGCCGCAAGAGCCTCAGCTGGCTCCCTGCCTCTCCTGTAACTGCTCATTGCTCCGGAAAGAAGGTGCAGGGCCACATGTGTGTTTCTGAATGCTGAGAACCTGGAGGGAGAGGATACAGGCTTCTCATGCTGCCCCCGTCCTCAGTAGCTTCTATTGGCCAGTTTCGATCAATAGCAGCTGCCTGTTTGCAGGACAGGCAGCATGTGAAGTGCCTCTCCTCACTCATCCCCCGGGATCACAGCACTCAGTTCAGAGCAATAAACATGGCTCCTGCAGCTCCACTGAGCACTTACAGGGGATGGAAGGCAGGGACCCTGGCTAAGGAACCTGCTGGGCTGCTAGCTGGGAGCCAAGTAAGGTCTCCCAGCCAGAGCCTCTCTCTGGCACCCCAGTCCTTTCTTCCCACCCGCCAACCCTCTGCTCCCCTACCCCATATAATCCAAACCTTCTGTATCTCTGCTCCAGATCCCATACACCTTCCCAAACACTGCATCCCTCCCAGGCCCTTTACCCCCTCCTCATCCTAGTCCTTTGTCCCAGGTCATGATCCTCTCCTTAACTCAAACTCCCTACCAGAACCCACACCCAGATCCCTTACCTCAAGCTCCCTTCTACACCCAACCTCTATCCTAAACCCACGCACTTCCTCCATTAATATAATGGAAGAGTGTGGCCCTCGACCACTTACCAAACTCTTGGAGTGGGCCTCCATCAAAAATTATTGCCCACATACATGTCAATGGTTTACGGTAAGAAAGAAAAAGATTTTTTAACAGAATTTTTTTTGAGAGATGCAGATACCTAAAACTCTGATCTTAATTATTTTTTTAAATTCTGTGTTACTAATTAATACATGGTAAACTGTATTGCATTAAGGCCAGATGTTTGCTATCTGGTAGAGTTCTGGCTCTTACGGGTCAGAAGTAGCAAGTACTAGGCGTGATGCTAGCTGTTTTGTAGGATAAAACCTTATTTGCAGGATCTTTGAAAGGATGAGGATACATGTACTCCAAGGTCTCAGAGGGGTAACCATGTTAGTCTGTAACTTTAAAAAAAAAACCACTTAAACAATGGTCCTGTAGCACCTTAGACTAATAAAAATATATAAACAGTACCAGGCATTTGTGTAGTGTTAATTTAATATGAAAACAAATAAAAGAAAATCATAAACATTGCTCCTTGTTAATTATCCCTTTTTTAATATATTTTCTTCTACGCCTATGGATTATTTAAAGTATATATTTATATCTATGTTTTTGTCTGTACTGGTGGGTGACATCTACACATTACCTCAATATTGGTGTCGCACATAAGAAATTTCAACCCACTCAAAAGAAAATTCAACCTTCTCAAGGATGGAAAATCTTAGCAGGAACACTGATTCTGATCTTGACTTTTCTAGCTCCCACTCAGATAATATCTATCATATTAACAGTTAGATACTTGAAGACGGGATCACAGATTTCAGTAATTAAGTGCAACAGTGACAAATTTGCAGAGGAAAATCTGATGTACCATGATAGCTGAATTAAACAAGCAAAATCTTCAACTTTTGAATTTACCAATAGCACAATGAGTAACATCATTAGCATCCAGTGAAAATAAATTGTTTTATTTGGAATGTTAATCCCACCAATTTAGGGAAATAAATAGGATAGGATCCTGCAATGCATTTTCAGGCAACTCTCCTGCCACTTAAAAAACAAAAGTTTAATTTAAGTAAGCAGAAGATCATGTCCAGAGTTTGCAATTCTTTTTTTAAAAGCTATACTAACATTCAACTCTTTAGAGGAAAGAGCATTTATGTTGGTGGTGTAAAAGTAAAATAGACTGGTTTTAACGTGTTTTTGCGAGACATGCATGCGCGCGCACACACACACACACACACACACACACACACACACACATCTTCAACAAAATTAGATACACAAACCAAATCATGATTAAAAAACTTATCAACAAACTGTACAGCTATTGTAAGGCTCAAGACAATACATAGTCTCATTATTTCCTCCTTTAAAAAATTCTAAATAGATAAAGCAGAGACAACATAAAATTATAAATCTGAGACTAGGGTTTTTTATTTCAAAAGGGCTAACTTTAGTAAATTAAGGAAATTAGTTAGGGAAGTTGATTGGACTAAAGAAATTATGGATCTTAAAGTGGAGGAGGCCTGGAATTATTTTAAGTTAAAGTTGCAGAAGCTGTCAGAAGCCTGTATCCCTAGAAAAGGGAAAAAATTTATAGGCAGGTGTGTTAGACCAAACTGGATGAGCAAGCATCTCAGAAAGGTGATTAAGAAAAAGCAGAAAGCATATAAGGAGTGGAAAATGGGAGGGATCAGTAAAGAAAGCTACCTTATTGAGGTTAGAGCATGTAGGGATAAAGTGAGAAAGGCTAAAAGTCAGGTAGAGTTGGACCTTGCAAAGGGAATTAAAACCAATAGTAAGAAGTTTTATAGCCATATAAATAGGAAAAAACAAAAAAAGAAGAAGTAGGACCGCTAATTACTAAGGATGGAGTGGAGGTTAAGGAACAAATATTTTGCTTCAGTCTTTAATGAGGCTAATGAAGAGCTTAGGGATAATGGTAAGTTAACAAATACGACTAAAGATAAGGAG